ATATAGTGAAATATACATATATGTACATGTGGCTGTTAGCATGCATTCATGCGTATTGTTTTGACACGAGCTAGATCCGTTGCCTAGGAAACAACACTAGGGAATATAATGCAAGTTTTAAATTGAATTCCTATACACACACACACACACATATTATAATAATTACATATTTTATAAAATACAAATTTTGTTTATTTAATACATACCTTTAAACTTAATAATTTATAATGTAGATATATATATATATATATATATTGATTTAGTTATTTCTTTATAGAAATAAAGAAATAACTGTGATAGTGCATACAACAGCTATGTTTTGTTTAATATCTAATACCATTGCACACATGTCACACGAACAGATGACTTTTTACCAACATTTATACTAAAAAAACTACTTTATGGAAAAAAAATGACTTACATCTTTATTACTTAATTTTATATGCAATTTCACGTTGCAATATATTATCCTCGAATTATGTGACATCTTATATATTCATATATATTTACACAATTGATATACAATATATAGTGATAAATGTATAATGTGAGAGATAGATAGATATTACATTGAGAAAAAATGCATCTAATCCCATAATAACTTATTCATATCAGACAATTTGTCTCTCTTAATCTGATCTAAAGTTACTGTTAAGTTATTAATTTTATCTATCATCACTTGTAATTTATGTTCTTGCGTCTTCAATAATTCAGTGGTCTCCAAGAAATTTTTTTTAAGCATTGCTGAGTGTTCGTTTGTGAAAGATGGAACATCCAGAATTTTTGCTGGCTTTACAAGAACTTTCATCATCTGTAACAAATCACACTAATGATAAATACAGATAAATAGAAAGTAAAATAATAATTATCAGTTCTGTAAAGAGCACTTACATGTATTTCATTGGTGAGCTTGATGAACTTCTGAAGCTCCTTTACACACAGCAATGGATACCTCTCTCTAGCGTCACACAACTCGAATACCACATCTTCGCATTGTTCCTCAAGATCAACTGAATTCAGAACAAACAACATTATGAATAACTGTACAAAGTATTTCCAATGTAGAATAATTTTTTTGAAAAAGGATCCGAAGTCTAATTTATATTCTTGTTTTAAAACTGTTTTAAGTAGTGTCTTAAAATACTAATACAGCTCTATAGCTAGTGTATTCATAATAGATACTTATATATTTAATATTGTCTTAAGTCTTAAATATATTTATTTACTACTACATTTAAGATAATTTTAGGATGTTACGAACCAATCAGAGAGTCATATTAACATTTTAAGATATCACTTAACACAAACTTAAAATAAGAATTAACTATGAATACTAGTCTATGATTGACATCTTAAGATTGTACTATTGTACTTAAGATAATCTTAAATATAAAAATTGATTATAAATCGATGCCCAAATTTCTAATAAAGCAGAGCATGAAACACTTACCCATTTTTCTATATACATATAGTTGGGTCCTCACATCTGATGTTACATCCCTGAGATCTTCATGCCTGTTTAGAAAACAAACAAGAGTATCTTAGAATATTACAATGTAATATAATTTTAACACTTTACTGTATAAAAAGTTAAGTATTTTGAATATATAATAAAATATTTTACTCGAAAATTGCACTGTAAAAAAGAAAAACGACGCTTCGCTTCGTCCTCTGATTCAAAGGAGAGTTCAGTGAAATTCACATCACGCCAAGATTTAATTTTGACTCTTACAAGCGCACGTACACAAAATTTCTGGAAGTACGTTAGATTAATTGTGAAGATCAGAGATTGGTCGTTTACAGCATCGGAATTAATGAAATCGTCAAGCGCTATTAACTCCGTCAGAACTCGAGAAGATTTGAAGAATACGGTTGACAGTGTTGACACACGTCCCGCCATCAAAGGGACATTTTCTGTTCATCGTAGTTACATTATTAGGGTACATCCACACAAACTTGCATAGCAACATAAACGTATAAATGCTTAAAGAAAATTATCCAATCACATTTTATGTGTGTCTTTATAGGATAAATGCGATTGGATAATTTTCTTTAAGCATACGCTTATGCGCTATGCAAATTTGTGTGGGTCCCCTTAAGCGGGGAGCACAGACTCTTGCGTAATACATAACATATGAGGCATAAGAAAATGAACCAATCAAAGTCCTTTATTTTCTTCCTTTTCGTAAAATAAAGGTCTCTGATTAGTTGATTGCCTCATGTTTTATGCGTTATGCAAAAGTCTGTGCTCTCCGCTTTACACTTTCTGCACTTGTTATGCATGAAGTTGGCACATTTATTTGGGTTTATATTCTGACATTTTTTAAAATAAAAGTATACCAAAATCAATATATTATTGCATAATTTAATATTATATATTTTATTATATTGTATCTTACATCAGCTTTTTTTCCTTTACTCTCCTAAATAATTGGGAGTCGACTGTGCATTTTAAAATGAGATGAAAATAGGTCTATCCACTGTTACCTGAAATCCCCAAAAATGTATGCACTTAAAACAAGATAAGAACAATTTAGACCGCAAGCGTTGAAAAGAGACAATGTGAGATTCCGAGTGCAGAAAGTGCAAAATGCAAGCAACGCGAACAAATCTGTAACAAAGTGAGCAAAGTTTACTAGATGTCGACCAATGAAATCATAAATATTCTAATGAATTTATTTTTGAAATTTTTATCTTTCAAAGGTTATCAATTACGTAACTTTTTTCTTAGAGCGCAAATATGAAATTAAAGATGTGGATATATATATTGGGTGGTCCGGAAAGTCCGTGCGGATTTTTTCATTGATTTTTCAAAAGTTTTTTTATTTGTTGCGAAATTTTCGTTACGATTATATCATTCGCTAGAGCAAAGTTTCAGCTTTAAGAATCTGTTTTTTAAATTGCGATATGATGATTTTTATCGGAGTTATGAGTAATCGAAATCAGAATGCTTCTTTACTTAACTCGCGAATAACTCAGAAACAAAAAATTATAGGAACATTTTTAAAAAATGATTTTGTAGGGAAAGCTTTAAGTTTTCACGATGGGTAGTCGAAAATTTTCGTAAATTTTTTTTGGGCACGTGAGAGACCCCCAAAGTGAAAAGAAAATTTTTTATCTTTTTCAGCTCGTAGTTTTTGGTATGTAAAAATTATCAAACTCATATAAACTTAAAAAATGTGATAAGCTTTTAAAAGTAGAGATTTCAAGCTTTAAAACCCTTTTTTAAAATTTAAATTTCGTTCATTTTTGACGAAGGTATCATATATACAATTTTTCATTGTAAAATCCGCACGGACTTTCCGGACCACCCAATA